AGGTTCCCGATCCTGGAGAGAAACAAGCAGGTTCAGCCCCCGCCCCCCCCCCCCCACCCCCCGGGCCCCCCCCCCCCCCCAACCCCCCGCCCCCCCCCAAACCAGCTGGACTCAGCCTCTCCACAAGCCCCACTCTGCCCCAAGGAACAGGGACACAGCTGGCATGACCTGATCCCCACAGATCGGGGGAGCAGAGAGGATCCTGGCGGAGTGGCTGGGAACAGGAGATGGAGCCTTTTACCTCTAGAGCATCAGTTCCTGACTCGCAGCCTCCCCACTCTCCTCCCAAACCAGGGACAGAACCCAGGAGTCCTGGCTCCCAGCCCCGCCCCCCTCTAACCACTAAATCCCAATCCCCTCCCAGAGAACCCAGGAGTCCTGCCTCCCAGCCGTGCGCGCGCCCGGCTAGACCGGAGCAGCCCCCCAACCCCCAGTACCTGTTGATCCCGCTCTGCCGAAGCTCCTTCCCCCGCAGGCTGAATTCCCCCACGTAGGTAGGTGCCAGGCATTTGATGAGATCCTCTTCCACGCCGCCTGCTGTGGTGACCAGCACGTCCACCTGCGCGGCACAGGGACCCCTGCCTGTCAGACCCCCCCACCCTGGGACTCCAGTGCTGGGAGCCCCCAGCTGAAGGGTCGGCGGGGTGGCTGCTGTTCGGGTGTCGGAGCCCAGCACTGGGGTTGAGGGGAATGGGGGGGATATGGCAGCAGCCTGGGTGTCAGAGCCGGGCTCTGGGAGGGGTCCTCGGGGACACAGGTGCTCAGTGCCAAGGGACACCGGGGGTGGGGGGGCGCAGTGCTCAGTGACCGGGGGCAGTGGGGGGGAGGGGCGTGGGCCATACCATGTTGTGCTGCACCAGGTAGCGGATAGTCTCGCGGATGCCCGAGCTGATGAGGTTGGAGGTGAAGCCCAGGAAGATGGTGCAGCCCGAAGGCTGCCGGCGGCAGGGGTTCAGGTCGGCGCGGGTCTCCTCCTCCTCGCCCAGCGGCTCCAGCTTCGCCCCGATCTGGGAACCGGAGCAGCCACATGTCAGGGGCACCCAGGCTGACGGGTCGAGGCACTCACCCACTCTGCACAGGCGCCCAAGCTACCGGCCCCCTTCCCCCTGGCTCTCACTGGCAGCCTCAAGGAGCGAATGGGACATGGAGAAACTGAGGCACAGAGTGGGGAAGTGGCTTCCCCACAGCCAGCAGAGGTACAGAACCCAGGAGTCCTGACTCCCAGCCCCCCTCATCCTGCTCTAACCACTCAACCCCACTCCCCTCCCAGAGCCAGGACAGAACCCAGGCGTCCTGGCTCCAGCCTCCCCTGCCCCGTTCTCACCATCCTGTTGATCTCCTGCACGGCCTGCCCGAAGCTGGTGGCCTGGAAGCCGGTGGTGAGGTAGGACTGGAGCAGGGCGCGGTGATCCAGCCCGCGGTCGAAGTCGTAGCCCCGCACCTGCAGGCTCGCCTCGGGCAGGCCGGCGCTGGGCTTCAGCACGGCCGCCACGGCCGAGGCCGGGAACCCCTCCCTGGCGCGCTCCATGGGGCCGGGGCCTGCGCGGCTCTGGGGTGATGGAAGGGGGGGGGTCATGGACGGGGCAGGGGCAGCCCCTCGCCAGGATCCTGAGTGAGTCCCAGTGTGAACCCCCGCTCCGAGCTCCCCGAACCCCCCTCCCCGCTCCGAGCGAGCTCCAGCCCCCCCCCGCTCCGAGCCCCCCGAACCTCCCTCCCGCTCCGAGCGAGCTCCAGCCCCCCCCCGCTCCGAGCCCC